TGGTAGGTGATTGGAGTGTTGAAGAAAATCAATCTTTTCTAGCATTTACATTCTGTGAATTCTTAAATCTGTTAAGTTCCGTGAGTTTACATGTTCTGAATTAGTAGACTGGCGAGGAAAAAAAAATACTTATGTGCAGGAACCTGGCCCCTCCCAGCAGATTAAATGAAAGGAGGACCCAGAGTCAAAGACCAGGGGTAGAGATCCCTAGGTCACAACTCAGGGTTTTCCAAATAGCAAATCACCAGGTATTTAGTAAGCACTTGCTCTATATCAAACACCATGCCAAATGCTGGGGATACAAAGAAAGCTATAAAAATATTCCCTGCCTTCAAGGTGCTTGCATTCTAATGGAGAGACAGCATGTACATCTTTGAGTATACACAGAAGAGCTACAAAATGAATACAGAGTAGTTCTATATAGGATTGCACTAGCAGCTCGGGGTTGGGGTTGGGGAAGCAGAAAAGCTTTAGGAAGAAGATAGTACTTGAGCTGAGTCTGGAAGGAAAGCAGGGAGGCAGAGGTGAAGAGAGACAGCCCTTTAAGCATGGAGCACAGCCAAGGCAAAGGCACAGGGATGGGAGATTGAGCACTGTGTGTGCAAAAAATGAATTGGGTACGTGAGTGAGGAGTTTAGATGATGCACTAGTGTGTCCCTACAGGCATGTGAAGAAAGGGATCAGGGCTTTTGAAAATGGATTCCCAGAAAGAGGAAGAGATGGAGGAAGAGGAGGAGAAGGAGGGGGACACTTAAAGTCAGATGCTTAATTTCTGGGATGGCTTCAATGTACATTGTCCAAAGATAAGGGGGATGAAGGCTCCTTGATCCTTCCCCATTCTGTGGTTCTAGAATACATTCCCTTGACTCTAACAGCTAAAATGTAGAAAGAACCAAAGCCTCTGTGACATGGTGGACAGTTCATTTTGGAATCAGGTGACCTAGCCCCATAGCTTAGTCCCTGTGTGACCTTGGGTAAGTTGCTGAATCTCTCTGGGCCACAGTTACTGGTTCCTTATAAAAAAAACCACTCCATCTCCAACCTCCATAACCTTTGCTCTGACTGTTCCCCATGTCTGGAATGCCCTCATCTCCTCCCTCTCTTGTAAGTCCTAGTGTTAAAAAAATTAAAAAAAAATTTCTAGTGTAAACTGGTATTCAGACTTGTAAACTGTTGGGCTCAGGGAGGTATCTGAGTACACGGTTATCCATAGTGATAGCTGCTGGTTGCATTTCCCTCCCCTCAGCCTGATCACATTATAACCATTTTGAACATATGTTGCATATAGTTATATATGTACATGTATTTCACCCAGCTAGGTTGTAATCTCCATGATGGCAGAGACTCTCTCACCTTTGTATCCCCAAGAGCCTGGAACATAAGAGGCGCATAATAAACATTTGTTCATTGATTGACTACATGACCTCAAAGGTCCTTTGAGCTCTATACTTATGGTCCTATGAATCTTACAGTCTTAGATCGAGAGCCGGAAAGAACCTCAGAGGTCATGAAGTCTAACCTCCTCATTTTACAGATGAAGAAACTGAGGTTCAGAGAACTTAAATAAGTTGCTCAAGTCACACAGAATGAGACAAGTTTAATTTAGTCTCAAAATTCAGACAGCAACCCTATCTACCAGACAGAGAATGAAAGTTGGTCTCTTTGAAAAGATCTTTTGGGGGAATAGGAGAGACATTCTGTCTCCCTCTTCCTTCATCCCTTCAGAGTTTTCTGCTGGAGATAGGTAGGATCTGTTCTTTCAATTTGGTCCCAGAGTCCACAGGACCATCAAATGCTACTGATCAAAGATCTCTGATCAAAGTCAAGGTATCCAAATGGCTCCTGTTGCTGGGACTGGGTCCAGGCTTTTGATAAGAATGTTAACGAGGAGGAGAGAGAAGGAAAAAATAAGCCATGAGAAGCCTTGATATGAACATCACTGTTTGGGCTCAGTGGTAGGTTCAAGTCTAATGCATCATTTCACTGGGTACCTGGGGCAACTGCCACTCTACCCTAGACTCTCATTCTAAGGCCACTTTAATTGCAGTGCTGAGAATGGGCCTTCTTGGAAAGGTGTCAGATTGAGCATACAGCTGCCTGCTGGGTTGCCCGGAGTCTGTGCTTGGCCACTCAGTTGGATATTGTCAAATGGTTGTACTCAGTGGAGGTCTAGGAGTTCAGGGCATGCATTTGATGGGGATTCTGGAGAAATGCGGGGGATGAATATCAAAAACAATATGACATAGTGGAAAAGGCACTTGGCTAGTGAATCAAGAGATTTGAGTTCTCATCCTAGCCTTGCCACTCATTCAGTCAGTGACCTGGTATCATAGAACAAGAAAACTGGAATGAGGGTGGTGAACGGTGGGGTGATCACAGGATCTCTGTGTTGGAGGCTGTCAGAGGCCAGCTAGTGACAAAGGTGAAGATACTCAAAACCATGCCAGATGAAGCTCAAGGGAAAGCATTTTGGTAAAAGGAGGAAGCTAGGTGGTGCTTGGCCTGGAATCAGCAAACAAACAAGTTTGAATCCTACCTCAGACTCTTATTAGTTGTGTGACCCTGAGCAGTGGACTTAATCTTGCTTAGCTTCTTCATCTATGAAATGGGAAGACATGGTAGTGCCCATCTTATAGGATCACTGTGAGATTCAAATAAGAGAAGAAGGAAGGAAAAAAGAAAGGAAGAAAGGAAGGGAAGGGAAGGAGAGAGGAAAGGGAAGGAAAGGGAAAGAAAGGGAAGTGAATGGGGAAGGGGAAGGAGAAGAGGAAGGGGAAGGAGAAGGGGAAGGGAAGGAGCATCTATTATGTTCCAACTATGTGCCAGGAACTATGCTAAGTGTTATAGAATTATTATCTCATTTGATCCTCATGGCAACCCTGGGAGGTAGGTGCTGTTATTATCCCAATTTTGTAATTGAAGAAACAGGCAGGCAGAGGTTAAATGACTTGCCCAGGGACATCAAACTAGCAAGTATCTAAGGCTAGATTTGAAGTAAGGTGTTGGAATTTTGCTCACGGTAAAGCCATGCCATTCTTAGTTCTGTGTTGTGACATTCTATAGTCTTAGGTCCCTTCTTGTTCTAGAAGCTATGAACCAAACTCCAGCCCATATAGAAATTTTTGAGCATGTTCAAAGGACAGCAATAAAAAACATGTGGGAGCCCCACCTATTGCAGGTGAGGAACAATTGAATGAACTCAGGATGTGCAGCCTAGGAGGAGAAGTCTCTGAAAACACACGAGATCTTTCTTCAGTCATTAGAAGGGCTAGTATGGAAAAGACGGATTAAACATGTTTTTCCTGATTTACAGAATCTTAGAATTGGAGCTCAGAAGCCATCCTGTCCAACCCCTACCAGCACAAGAATCCTCTCATGAGCACCCGTGATATGTGATGGTACAGTCTTTGATCAAGCAGTTCTAGTGGGGAGAGCCCATCACCTCCAAAGGCAGCCTCTCCCACTGTTGGAAAGGGAAAGGGCTGTGGGAGGAGGAACATAATATTTAGCTTCAGATGGGAAAACCCAAGATCGATGGATGAGTATTGCCAAGGCAGGTTCCCTTTCCTTCCCCCAATATATAAGAAAAAAATCCTAATAATTAGAGCTGTCCCAAAGGAGATTGTATGGCTTCGGGATGCTGGATAACTTCAAGTGGAGGATGAGTAGTCAGCCATCATACCCTACAGTGGCTGACCAGGTATGATATAGAGGTGATGCCTCTTGGACATGATGACCTAAGAGGTACTGTCCCAGTTTGAGGATTCTTCAATTCTGGGAAAACAAGGTTAATCTCTTTTTCATTGGGATGCCCCTCAAATGTTCCCGGAGAGCTCTCATGTCCCTTCTGGCACTTCTCCAGGCTAACCACCACCAGTTATTAGAGATCATAAATATGGAACTGGGAGGGATGTTAGCATTCATCGAGTGATCATTCTACAGGTTAGGAACCTGAAGCCCAGAGAGGGTGAGTAGTTTTCCCAAAGTTCCATAGAAAGTAAATGGCTGAAGGTAAGATTTCAACCCAGGACCTCTGACTTTAAACGCAATGCTTATTCCCAGACCCTGAAACATAAGAAGCAATTAATAAACACTATTGATTTCTTTCCATTGTAATAATCAGAGCACTTTCAGATTTTCAATGTGTTTTACAAACATCTCATTCTATCCTCACGATAACCCTGGGAAGGTGGTAATTAATATTATTAACCTACTTTTATGTATGAAGATAATAAGGCAGGCAAAGGGCAAGAGACTTGCCCAGGATCACACAGCTGGTTAGTGTCTGAGGTTGCATTTGAACCAAAGTCTTCCTGGTTCCAGGTCCAGTGCTCTATCCACTACTCTGCCTAACTGCCTTCAGATAATATTTACATAGGACTTGAAGGTTTGCAAAGCCCTTTACATGGATTAATTCATTTAATCCTCACAAGAACCCTGTGAAGTAGATGCTATTATTACCTATATTTTACTGATAAGGAAACTGAGGCAGACAGAGGTTAAATGACTTTTCTAGAATTATACAGCTAAGTGTCTAAGACAAGTTTTGCATGCAGGCCTTCCTGTTTCTAAGTTCAGCACTCTATTCACTATGCTAACTAGTATATTGAAATACCTTTTGACTCTGAAATTCAATTTAATTCATAGGATCATATGATTTAGACATGGGGGGTGCCTTTGAGTTCATCTAGTCCAATCTCCTCATTTTACAGCTGAGGAAACTGAGGCTCAGAAGTGTTAAGTGATTTACCCAAAGTCACACAGGAAATAAGTGTTTTAGCCAGGATTTGAACCAAGGTCCTCAAATTCCCAATCATATTAGGGAAAATCAATATTTTTTAAAAACCGAGCTTGCGATCTTATTGGTCTAGAGACTCCCTTTGAGGAAACTCCCTTTACCAGTACAGAATATAGTCCTAGATGCTGAATGATAAAGTGACTTGTCCAGCAATCAGAGGTTCTGTGAAAAAAAATTTCACTTTACTTCATCAAAGGTGGGGACTCTGCACCTGATCATAGATATGGAAGATTTGGGTGAACATTGCAGGTATCATAGCACAACTGCCACCCACACCCTCCAAAGCAGAGCAGTCAGGAAATAGCTGTTTTACACTCTGTGGAGACAGGAACATTGGGTCCATTACATCTCTATTGAGATGAACTGCAAAATAATGGTTATAGCTCTGATTTGTAATATGTAGTAGCACTCCGGGCAGAGAGTCATCCCAAACTTGCTTGTTAGAGGAATTTGAGGATACTCTTCCCTGGCATCCCTCAAAGGAAACATAAATGTGCCAATTAACCCAAAGAGCCAGTTGCCAGAGATTGCTAATGCAGCTAATTTTAGGGATTCTTTTCCAAATAACCATTGGGCCAGGCATCTCAAATCATCACATTGATCCAAATGGCGCAGTGCTTGTTCAGATCAGCAACGTGCATCTGTGCTAAGTCAGCTGGCTAGCTCGCTGAGTCAGACCCTGGTAATAAGAAGAACAAGGTCAGGAGTTCAAGTCCTCTACAGAGTGGTTAGTTTTGCTCTATTCCAGGTTCAATAAAAAAACCAAAACACTCTCTGTGTACTAGGTAGTTACTTACTTTGCTGGATACTGGGGGACACCAAGGCTAAAGGAAAGTTTCTGCCTTCAAGGTGTTTTCATTCAAATGGAAAGGGACAGCATCGACAAATATCTAGAATAATTACAAGGAGGTTAGAAAAGGGGAAACATTGGGAGAGAAAGAGGAAAAGATGGTTATACGTGATCTGAGTCTTGAAGGAAACCAGAAATTCCAAGAGGCAGAAATGAGGAAAGAGTGCATTCCAGCCATGTTGGTGCACAGATTTATATTCAGAAGGGTGAACAGGCAAGAAAATGGGAATGAAATGGGAATGGATCAGTGCCAAACTCTCCCCACTATCAGGAAAGCAAAAACATCAACAGCATAAAGCTTAAGTCCTCTTAAGTTTAGGCCAGTAGAATCCGATAAGCATTTATTAAGCGCCTATGCTATGACAGATACTTATGTTATATTTTGGGAAAACAGAGACAAAAATAAAAATGGCTCCTTTCCTTATGAAGCTTACAGTCTACTGGGTAGGGGTGGAGGAGAGCATGTACACACCAAAATAAATATTTGGTAAACACAAATCATTCCCTAGAGTAGGTACATACTAACAATTGGGAGTAAGTAGATTTAATCTTTGTCTCCCATGACAGCCTTTTCAATCCTTGAAGACATCTATCATATTCCCCACTAAGTCTTCTATTATCTAGGCCCCAAATTTCCAGGTTTTTTTCCACTGGTCACCAAGCAGCAGAGTTATCTAGTCCTCTTCTCTGGATAAACTTGTACATGTCTTCCCAAAATGTGGTGCCCAGAAGTTAACATCAGACCAGGGCAGAGGACGGTGGGACTATCACTTTCCTCATTCTGAGCACTACTATGACTTTCTTTTTTTCTTCTTTTCTTTAATATTTTTTCTCCAATTACATGTAAAAACAATGTTCACTGTTTTTCAATTTTGAGTTGTAAATTTTCTCAATGTTCATTTTTTTTCAATTTTGAGTTCCAAGTTTTCTCACTATATCCCCTCTCATTGAGAAGACAGGCAATTTGATATGTTATACATGTACAGTCATGCAGAACATATTTCATATTAGTCATATTGTGAAAGAAAACACAGACCAAAAAAAAAACTAAGAAAAAAAGTATGCTTATATCTGAATTCAGACTCCATCAGTTCTTCCTCTGAACATGGATAGCACTTTTCATCATAAGTCCTTAGAATTGTACCGGATTATTGTATTGCTAAGAGTAGCTAAGTCATTCACAATTGATCATCACACAGTACTGCTGTTGCTGTGTACACGTTCTCCTGGTCCTGCTCATTTCACTTTGTATCAGTTTATGTAAGTCTTTCCAGGTTTTTCTAAGAGCATCTTGTTCAACATTTCTTATAGCATAATAATATTCCATCACAACCCTATCCATAACTTGTTCAGCTATTCCCCAATTGATGAGCATCCCTTCAATTTTCAATTCTTTGCCACCACTAAAAGAGTTGTTATAAATATTTTTGTATGTATATGTCCTTTTCTTTTTTATTTACTATCTCTTTGAGATAAATACTTAGTAGTGGTATTGCTGAGTCAAAAGTTATGCACGGTTTTATAGTCCTTTGGGGGTAGTTCCAGATTACTCTCCAGAATGGTTGAATCAGTTCACAACTCCACCAACAGCACATTGGTGTCTCAGTTTTCCCACATCTTCTTCAATATTTGTCATTTTACTTTTCTGTCATATTAGCCAATCTGGTAGGTGTGAGGTGATACCTCAGAGTTGTTTTAATTTGTATTTCTTGAATCAATAGTGCTTTAGAGCATTTTTACTACGCCTTTCTTAAGGCAACCTAAGACAGTATTTTTGTTTGGTCCTCAGGAAGTAAAGGTCACAGTATTATAAGCTCACATTGAGCTTATAGGGCACTGAAAAAACACAGATCTTTCTTAGTATACTACTGTGGCTTTGCCATCTTGTGCTTGTGAAGGTGATTTCTTGAACTCAAGTGTCAGACTTAACATTTATTATCCCTCTTAAATCTGCATCTGCCCACCATTTTAGCTTGCTGAGATCTCTTTTAGTATCCTGATTCTCTCTAGAATCAACAGGTTATACAGAGGATGGAACATTCATGATTCATCTTTGTGTTGTGTTCATTGCTTAACATGGAGCCATTATACAGTAGTCATTTAATAAATGTCTCCTGAGCTTAGTTTAGTGTTGAAGATCCAGATTCCAGACCAGTGTGACTGTATCTTTTATTCACTAGAAAGCCCTTCTTCCACCTACATGGAATCCCACCCTTCCATTCCCAGAGAAGATGGATCTCTTTTATGTCTGTGGAATTTGAGGTCCAGATGGCTAAAATTACACTGGAAAATTAATTTCTGGTAATTGTTCCAGACAAGAGATTGAACTGGGAATCAATCTATTCTTTCATTAATTGTTCTATCTTCCTTTGGAAAGCTTAACTGACTTGTGACATAGTCTGGGTAGGCCAGATGACCTTTGAGGGAGCTTTAGAGTGAGGTTAAGATTATGTTGTCACCTCTTCCCAAGCCTGCCCACCCATTTGAACCTTCCATATCAGTTCTCTCCCAAAGTGGGAAAGATCTAAGGTCTCACTGAATCACATTTAGTAAGCGTAGGGGTAATGAGGCTGTAAATACACATCTAAGCCATGCTGAGTTTTCTAAGGCGTCACCTTGACATTTAACTGAAAATTCCATCCCCAAGAAGCCATGAGGCATAGAGATTAAGCTTACTGAATCATAAGATTATACATTTAAAGATGGGAAGAGCTAAGGCTCAGACTTACCCAAGGGCACACAGCAGTGTCTCAGATGGCATTCCTGACATTAAGTTCATTAAATCATGCTACTTACTGAGGAGAATTGTCCATTACACTTGGGGAACCCAACAGATTTCTAAGCCTCATTGCCAAATCTCATCCCTCCAGAGGAACAAGAAAGAAAACAAGGTGTTACAAAAAAGAACTCTGGACATGGAGACAAAGGACCTGAGTTCAAAACCTGGCTCTCTTGGCTACCTATGTGACCTTCAGCAACTCACTTGATTCCTCTGGGTCTCACTTTCCATATTTATGAGAGAAATGGATGGACTACATTATTTCTAACTTTCCTCCAAATGACAAATTCTATAATTTAAAATATTATATACTCCCTTCTCCCCTCACTCCCATTTCACCTGGCTTAGTCCTGGTCTAGCCTCCAACTTCAGAATTCTGAACTTCAATGACGTCTCTGGGATAATTATGCAATGGGCAGGGGAATCATCTTTGTGACTCTGTTTCCCCTTTTGGCACTCTTCTGTTTTATTTTAGAACTCTTTTCTTTCACCCAAGAATTAGATGTGTGCTCCCAGGTGGCAGCAATCTTTTCTGATAGACATCAGATAGACATCGTCACAGAGTTAGAACTGAAAGCTGGTGTGCTGATGAATGTTCACCAAATGGCTCTCTGGCTAACACATTTGTGAGTGTAATCTCAAATTTAATCATTTTCTCCATAATTTTATTAAGTCTAGGGCAGAAATCAACAAAACAATAAATCAAGCCTTGATCTATAGCCCTTTACCATTCCTAACGCATAAATGTTCACATTGAAAATTTAACAATTGGATCTCTTGCACCAAGCTGACTCCAGCACACTCTTGTATTTATTGTATCTTCACAATGGTTCCACCAACAACTTGCCTCCTCTGTTAGCCTCACAATTAAAAATAAACAATAAACACTTCCAGTCAAAATTCTCTGTTATTCAACAGTACCACATCTCCTCCCAAGACCCCTACCCCCCACCGACCCTGAGGATCTTAATTATTACTAATAACAATCAACTCTGGCCCAGCAGCCATTGGATCCTAGATTTAGAGTTGAAAATGTGTCTTAGACATGATCTAATCCAACTCCCTCACATTATAGAGGAGGAAAGAGGCTGAGAGAGGGGAATTGACTTGTCTAAGGTCACATAGTAAGAAAATGGCAGAGGAGGGACCAGTACCATGGTTTCCTGACTCACAACCAGGTACACTGTTGCTTTGATCCTGTAGTTTAATTCAAATCAACAGTGAGGCTGGCTTCCAAGCCTGGAATACACTCCCTCCTCATTTTTGCCTCTTCTAATGCCTAATTTCCTTCAAAACTTAGCTCAAACTTCCCCTCCCACCCCCCCCAACTATTAGAGTCTTCCTTCAAATTGCCTTGTATTTATTTTGTACACATCAAAAAAGAGAAGCAAGATGAGTAAATGCCCATTAACTGAGGAATGACTAAAATTGTGGCACACGAATGTCATGGAATATCACTGTACTACAAAAATTACAAGCATGATGAATACAGAGCAGCATGACAAGATTTCCATGAACTGATGCAGAGTTAAGAAAGAAAATCCAGGAAAACAATATACACAATTACCGTAGCAATGTAAACAGAACCACCAACAATGACCAAACAATAGAGACTGAAGGTTGCAAAATGATGAACAGCAATCTTGGCTCCAAAGAAGAGATATAAGGGAATATCGTAGCTCAGTCCTTTGAAGAGATCAGATTCCGTCAAAGGAACATTCCATATAATATTGGAATTTTTTGATATGTTCATCAGTTTTACTGATTTTTTTACCCTTTTTCTATTTCTTTTTTCTTTGTTAAAAAGTCTTTGTTATATAGTACATTTCTCTGGGAAGAGGGAAAGAAGGATACAGGGGAAATCTAGAAGTTATAGAAAATCAATTAAAATTTATTTTTAAAATTGATCTACATCCTAAAGGATTATTTCATCCCTGGAACTCACACCTCAGCTCCCAGGGCCTCTTCATCTGATTGGATGTCTCCTACTAGAATGTCCATTTAAGGAGGGTGCCTAGGCTAACCAACTCTTCATTTCCTTTATTTCCAGGCTGCACTTCTTCAGACTCCTTTACTTGGCTCCCATCATGGGTACCTTCTTCCTCTCTTTATCCATCAGCTTTTTTTAAAAAATGTTTTTTTTTTAATTTTCAGTTCCAAATTTTCTTCCTCCTCTAAAACATCGAGAAGGCAAGAAAAATGAAACTCAACACACACAGACATATTGCTGTTGTTCAGTCATTTCACTTGTGTTTGACTCT